CCGGAGCAGCCGGGCAGGGGCATCGCCCGCGGCGCCCGCCGCCGCCGCCGCCCCTCCTGCGGCCGCTGCGGGGGCCGCCGCCTGGCTTCGGACACCGGCCCGCCACCCGCCAGGAGGGGAGGGGGGAGGCGGGGAGGGTGACGGCGCGGGGCGGGCAGTGGACCCCGCCTCCCTCGGCACAGCCGGTGGAAGGGAAAAGGGGTTCTCGCGCTCCGCCTCGGTGCGCGCCCTGACGGATGCACAGAGCGTGGAGATGGAGCGTGAGTGTGAGGTGTCTGGACAGGTGCGAATATGGGAATAGCGACCCGGTAGCGGGAGTGTTCTGACTTCTCCGGATTCCTCCGGGATGTAGGACTCTGGCGGCCCACCGGCACTTGTAGAGACTACATTTCCCGAAGTGCTCCGCGGCAGCGAGAGCCTCTGCGCATGCGTGCCGCGCCGCGTTGGCCGGCGCAGAATGGGCTGGGGAGGGAGGGCTGCAGCGCCGCGCGAAAGGCGAGCCCGGGCGGCCCGGGGGCGGGGCCTGGAGGCGGGGCCGACCCAGGACCGGGGCGGGGCCGGGGAAGGAGGGGCGAGGGCGGGCAGTCTCCCGGAGCTGATGTGTTCTGTGTGCGCCGCTGACGCGCTGGCTTGCACTCTGCAGCGCGGGAATAAAGTTTGCGGATTTGGTGCCTAGCCCTGATGCCTGGGTTGCAGGCCCTGCTGCTGTGGCGCCCCAGAAGTCATCGGACTGAAGGAGAAGACCCGTTGAACTGGCTCTTCTCAGGGTAACGCATTCTCCCCACTCCTTTCCCAGCCATACTCTGGAATATCTGCCATTCTAGGCTTCTCATACACGTGGAGATGCTTAGGTCCGCGGAGCAGGCCTCTGGGCTGTCGGTGTTTGGGAGATTCCCTAGAAATGAACATTCTCCTTCCCCTTTTTCCGCCGGACCACTACGGAAAAGAGCCCCAGCCTGCCGCAGGCCTTCTCCGAACTTCCGTTAGCCAAAAGGTGTTTCCCCGCCCCTCCTGCCCCAGCTGGTGGTCCATCGTGCTCCTTTAGGATGGCTGTCTTTGTTTACTGTTGCAGAAATTGAGCCACTTCATGTTTACACAACAGAGTCGAGAGAAATAAGCTGCTATCTATGGATTTTTTGAGTTCAGATCATTCAGTCCCTAATGGATTTTTTTTTTCCTGGTTGAATCTGAGTTGTTCTCTGGATATGTTTGGTATGTAAAAATACTACTCCCCATTGAAGTGGATAGTACAATTCTTAGGATGCTAATTTAGGAGTCTGTAAATCAGAGTACTTCGGACTTTGTACAGTTTGGTGTGTTAATTTTTAGGGGTTGGAGGTTGGGATAGGGTGGGGAAGTAAAGATTTTGATATCACTGAATAGTGTTGTTGACCTAAAAGGAAGAGGCTGAAGCACAAAATATAATTTAAAGAGTTTACTTGGGCCAAAATGAGGCTAGCTGTCCGGGACACACTTCCTAGTTGCCTTGATGGATGCTCCTTCAGCCTTAGTTACAAGCAGGTTTTTAAAGGCGAGGGTGACAAGGAGTAGGTTGATACCAGGTTGTTGGTCACAGTTCAAAACGTATAGTCAGTCACCCTAAGCAATATTATCTTTTTGGCTTACAGAGATAATATTGCTTGGGGTGATGGGCTATACATTGTTGAACTATAGGATATGAGTTATGGTGTTCAGCATGTGGCATTTTATGGCCACTAGTCAGTCTAGAATCTACATACCAGGTGATTTCAGGAGATAATTATTTAGCTCAAGGGAGAGTGAGGTGTGACTGTTTCATTCCAGTACTTCTCTGGGCTTGCATTATTAAGATAAAAAGTTGTTCTTATATTTTCACAGTGGTCCCCTTTGAGTGCTACTCTAAGCACTGAAGATACTAACAATGAACAAAACAGTTAAAAATCTCTCCATTTTTGAAGAGACAAAAAGTCAAGTGTACAATATTTCCGAAAGCGGAAAGCCTATGGAGAATAAAAAAGGAAAGACAAGTGAAGAGAGCAGGTCAGTGTAGGGAGCTACAGCTTTCCAATAGCTGGTCAGGGAATGCCCCCCTGAGAAGGTAACTTTTTGAGTAAAAAGCTGAAGAACCTGAGAGAGCTTATCTGGCTATTTTGGGGGAAGAAAGTGCAAGGGCCCTGGGAAATTTTGCTTGGTTGTATTTGAAGAGCAGATAGGAGGCCAGTCAGCCAGACCCAGAGTGATTGTAGGGGAAGAATGATAGGAGATAAGGTCAAACAGGAAAGGGCAGGGGATAGACTGGGTAGGATCTTGGCTGTTTTGAACATTTGGGCTTTAACTCTGAGGGGTGTGGGAAGTTATTGGAGAACTGTAAGGGCTACAACGTGATCTGAATTATATTTTTAAAAAATTATACGTAATATAAAATTTGCTTATTAAGCATCTTTGTGTTCAGTTGAGTGACATTAATGATACAGTGTTGTGCCGTCATCACCCTGCCATGTGTATGACTAGTCGAAACCATAGTTGTGGGTGGTGAAGGAATTCACCAAAACAGTTGTGAATTTAGAAAGGCAGATTTATAAGGCCCCTCCCCCCAAATTGTGTATTTACTCTTACATGTTAAAAACTTCAGTCACCTTCACACGACTCTCGTTTGATACAATACACCTATCGAGACACTTTTTCCACTGCTCAAAACAGTCTTTGAACTTGTCAGTTTTGATGCCTTTTATTGCATCTACTGTTTTTTGTTTCACATCTTTCACATCAGCAAAACATTTCCCTTTGAGAACTTTTTTCATGGAGGAAACATAAAAGAGTTGCTTGGGGTGAGATTGGGTGAGTGGGGAGAATGAGACATGGGGATCATGTTGTTTTTGGTAAAAAATTGCTGAACACTTAATGTGGTGTGGGCAGGTGCATTGTCGTGGTGAAGAACCTGTCACCATTTTGCCACAACTCGGGACATTTCTTCCACAAATCATGATGCATCCTTCTCAAAACTTCCAGATAAAAACTGTGGTTGACCATTTGATCTGGAAGAACAAATTCTGAGTGCACTGCAAGGGGTCTGCCCTTCCCCCCCAAAAAAAAAGAAAAAGAAAAAAAAATGTGTGTGTGTATAAAATTCTGGAGTGTGTGTGTGTGTGTGTGTGTGTGTGTATGTATAAAATTCTGGGTTTTTTGGGTCCCCCTTCGTATTTAAGAGAAGATGTGCTATGAAGATAAAAGCAGGCAAAACAGGAGAGAGAGGCTGTTTGTTGTCTGCAAAGAGTCTGAGGTTGGGAGGAATTTTTATACGCCTGTGCTGGGGGTTGGGCACCAGGGAGATATGCTTATGTGACAGGAAGGTTTGTAAGAGGGAAGTTATTTGTATGTGGGTTGTGCAGAATGTCTGATAGATTGTGGTGGTATGTTTTTTTAAAAATAGGGTTAATTAACAGCAATAGTTAACTGCTTTTCTGTTTCCTATGGGCTAAAGATAATTTACTACAATGATTTACAGCTGGTCAGCAAGCTTTTTCAACTCTTGCTGTGGTAAGTTTCTTTGTAACATTTTGTAAAATTTTATCCTAAGGTCCTTTTCCTCAGTGTAATTTAGCCAATTGTTGCTGACCTAATTTGGCCTCATATTTCTCCACAACCCCTGTCTGTTACCAAACATTTTCATCACCCCAAACATAAACTCTAACCACTTAGAATAACTTCCCATTGCCTCTTCCGCTTAGCCCTTAGTAACCTCAAATTCTTTCTCCATGAATTTGTCTAATCTAGATATTTCATATACGTGGAGTAATGTAATATTTATCTTTTTGATCTGGTAATTGTCACTCTACATGATAAAAAAACAGTTTTACTGAGATACAATTAACATATCATACATCATCCATTTAAAGTGTACAATCCAGTGGTTTTTAGTTTGTTTACAGAATTACGCAACTGTCATCATTATCAATTTTATCATCATCCAAAAAAGAAACTTCATAACCATTAGTACTCATTTCTTGTCTTTTCCCCCAGGCAATCACTTATCTACTTTCTATCTCTATATTTATTTATCAAACACTAGAAGTTATTCTGTCTAGCTGTTTTTTTTTTTTTTTTAAATCTGTTAACTGATCTCTCTTTATTACCAAACCCTATACATCTCAGACTCCTGGTAACTTCCATTCTGACTACTTCAATGAGATCAATTTTTTTAGCCCTCACATATGAGAGAGAATGTGTGATATGTCTTTCTGTGTCTGACTTATTTCACTTAACACAAAATCCTCCATTTCCATCCACATTGTTGCAAATGGTAGCATTTCATTATTTTTTTGGCTAAATAATATTCCATTTTATTTATATATCACATTTTATGCATCCATTCGTCTGTTAGTGGACACTTAGGTTGATTCTATATATTGATTACTGTTAAATAGTGCTGTACTAAACATAGGAGTGCAGATATATCTTTGTCATACTGATTTCGTTTCCCTTGGATATATAC